GCTACCTTGTGACAGCCATTGATGGGTTGTGGTGCAGTGTCCGTAAATTCATCGGGAACCAACTCCGGAGCACATCCTACCGTGTTAAACGCTCAGAGTGTTTCAATTAGGTACCCTCCCACTCTGATATCGATCCACCATTTCCATCAGAACGGCCCGATATTCATAACAGGGCTGATGAAGCAGACGCTGACATAGCACCAGCTCCACCCACACCACCTGCCATACCAATCATACTCTCGACACCTGCTAAGCAAGCTACTGGATCCCCCTCTCTGGAAGTAGCAGTAGCAGAGGTACCTATTCACGTCAGGGGTGTGAAATCTCCGCTATTTGGCAGATTTCCGCTTTTTTGTTCAGCGTGCCACATTTTGTTTTCCGCTTTTTTTCTTCCGATGGTCCAGATTTCCCCCCGCCTTTTCCCCTGCGCATAAGCATTGATTTTATTTCCGTCTATTTTATTTTCGGCCGCCGCCGAACGCACGCGATCCGCTCTCTACAACATACATTGTACATGTACACGTAGCTCTGGGGTGCGTGCAAGCGAGTATTCAATGTACATTGTACGTACGTACGTGTGTACTATACGATGCCATGTGCATGCATTTTTCAGCTCGAAGCCGTGTGTGTACGATGTATTGTACACAACATGTAAACAGCATCCGGGGAACCAACAGTCATTGTGCTGTGATTGGCTGCTGATAAATATGAATATTCACACATGCGCCATGAAGCACATTGGGACTCTTGACGGCCGTTCCTGTGTCTATGCAATGATCTCCACAATAACTCACTGTAAACATCGTCTTGTTGCAAATATAAAGCCTTAAATAAGACTAGTAAATTGTCGCCGTGCCGCGCCGGTAGAGGGCATCATGCGGGGCAAAGTTCATGTGTGCATTTCATTGCATGCACGCATCCTGCTGCATGTATTCCGCTGCATGCTGATACGTACGTTAGTGTGTCGTTTCAAATGTTTCGAACGCATTTTGACATATTGGTCGAATTTCCCAGTTTTCATATACAAGTTGTTTAACATACTGAGTATACAGTGTTTAAACGTCGGTGACGGGCAAAACTTAATTTGATTTATTTCACCCCAATGCAAAAATTCCATCTTATAATAGTTTTTGCGGTACCCCCTGCTATGCACATCAGATTCGAACCGGCCAACCGATCCCGTTAGCTCGGTGGTCGAGTGGTAAGACATCTGCACTAGAAAGCAGGAGGTCGTGGGTTCGAGTCCCACCCGAGTGATTTTTTCCAACTTTCACTCGGGAGTTAACACATTGAGTATACAGTGTTAAAACGTCGGTGAAGGGCAAAACCTAATTAGATTTATATCACCACGACGCAAAAATTCCATCTAATAATAGTTTATGCGTTACCTGCTGCTATGTACATCGGATTCAAACCGGCCAACCGATCCCGTTAGCTTGGTGGTCGAGTGGTAAGACATCTGCACTAGAAAGCAGGAGGTTGTGGGTTCGAGTCCCACCCGAGTGATTTTTTCCAACTTTCACTTGGGAGGTAACACATTGAGTATACAGTGTTTAAACGTCTGTGAAGGGCAAAACCTAATTTGATTTAGAGCCAGGTACTTCCTACTGTCGGCGACCATGCATCCTTTAACTTTTGAAGTCATGGAGTTCAAACTGCTTGGGTCCTAGTGCTATGGTCACCTTAGACCCGTGAACGTGGCTATATACAAAGCCACTCTTCGATCTACAGTAAAATTACTCTTATGTGATCCTGGTTACTGTAATCGAGTGACCATTCTAGCCGAATTTCGGCTAAATTTGACAGCATATTTGCATACAAAAATGAATGGCACAGAAAATTCAGCAGAATATTTTTTTCAGTAGAATTATGTTTCAGAAGGAAAAAAGAAAACATAGTACTTAGAGAAATATAGCACATTTGGTTCGGAAAAGCTTAAATTTTTGAAAGATCCCTGAAACAAACCCTTGCACAATGGAACAGCAATATATACTGGGTGACTTGGCAGATTTTTGAAGTGGATTTATCAGAATTTTAACATGGTATACCCATTGGTGGGACTGCAACCGGTTTGCGCATGCGGAACTTGGGGTACCAGAGTATCATGCCTGTCTTTATATCAGCCGTGCGCAGCACGCTGATATACTGTGATCGTCCAGTTTCTTTCTTTCACGTGACCAATGAAAAAATGGCCATAACTCCTAAACTAGTTGGCCGACTTCAAACAAACTTGGCCAAATTAAACCTTGTCACATGCCCTACCTAGCCATGTTCGTAAAATCCGGCCACTGGTCATTAAAGGGGCACTAGAGGTCATTTAATAAATATTTACAAAATGCTTCTTCTCCCACAGTCTTGACCCAAAAAATGTAAAACTTGGTCAGTTGTATCTTTGGACCAAGCCTCACAAAAGTTGTTCACAGAATTTGGCCAGTGGTCACCTATAGGTCAGTAGGGGTCATTTATGAAAAAAAAATAAAAAACTGTTTTACATTTTAAATCTTTGCAGCCCTGTTCAGTGTATTTTTTTATCTCTAATTCTCAAATTTCATATTCCTGACTTGTTTGGTTGTCGAGTTATTTTAAGTTTTTCATTTTTCAAACGCATGTAAAAAGCAATATAAAAACATAGGAATTCTGGGAAGGTTTCAAACCACCACGATACTGTGGATGTTGTGTGACATACAGTGCCACACTCTCCACAGACTTTGCCCATAACCACAGAAGTGGTGTCTCGATACTGCATTCCTTCGGTCTGTCATAGCATGCAGCAGTGCCACCTGTGTAAAGACATGTGTTCAGCCAGATGCTCTGCCGTGGATTAAAAAGTACGGAGGCCAATAAATAACACTACTGCTGTGAATAATTTGTGAGAGTTTTTGTGGATTAATCTACTGGCATTAACTACTGTTTCGTGTATTGTCTTGACGGCTATTTTATGTAATGTTTTGGCAGTCTGAATGTCAAATGTTCATAGTTGTTTCTCTTACATTCTTTTGCCGATCTCAGCCACATTTAGCAATGATCACCTTGTGGTCAGTGCGAGTCAGTATTCAGACAAACCGATAAAACGGCAATTTAGGCTGATATCCGTGCTTCGGGAAGCACATTAGCTCTAGTTGATTTTCTGATCAATTTAAACACATTCGTTGTGCTGTATTTATCATCAGATTTCTTGGCAATGACAGATCCAACACCAAGTAAGTGATTAACCTACAGAGAAAATTATACATCATGGTTATACAGTGGAACGTCACCAGTGGCGTAGCCACCGGGGGGGCGTGGGTGGGCGACCGCCCCCCCATGAAACCTTGTCACCCCCCCAGTCGCCCCCCCCCCCCCCCCACTGAGATTTTGAGTTTGCTAAAAAAATTATCATTGATCTACGTGACGCCATGGGCGTCAATCCTGGGGGGGACAGGGGGACTGGTCCCCCCCCCCCCCACTTTTTGAAGGGTGGGGGACACAATATCAAATGTCCCCCCCCCCCCAGATTTTTGAACTCATGTCTCATTTACAGGGCCCTATTATGTACTACAATGTATCTTTTGCTTAAAACTATTGGTTAAAGTGGTCAGAAATTGCCTCAGATAGCACCACAGGGGGAATTTAGAATCCAAAATTTTTCGGGGCCCTTAAGCCCCTTAAACCCCACGCCTATAGCTCAGAATTCTGGTAGCTGATTCAATGACTCCAACCTCGGAAACAATGTTCAAAAAATTTTCTTATGCCTTTAGCTGAGAAAACCTCGACAATTATGTTTAAACTATTATCTTTTGTGCTAAGATAATTATTGGTTAAAGTGGTAAGAAATTGCCTCAGATCACACCACAGAGCATCGAGAATCCAATTTTTCTCGGGGCCCTTAAGCGGGCCCCAAACCCCACGCCGTAAGGGCTTTGCGCTACGCGCTCGCATCAGTTCTGATCAAGGTATGTCCCCCCCCCCCCACTTTTGAGAAGCGATTGACGCCCCTACATGACGCCCCCCATGAAATGTTCCAGCCCCCCCCAGCGCCCCCCCACTGCAAAATTCCTGGCTACGCCACTGAACGTCACTACACCAAACACCGCTATACCGAACATTCAGCTATACTGAACATCGTCCTTGGCTCTTGATTTTTGTGTACAAACTGTACTGAATATTGCTGTTGAAAAATAGAGCGAAAATTGGCTATTATTTCCCCAAGGAATAGAAGGGGAAAGCCACCCATTGCTGTAGGTACCGGTAGTAAGCTCACAATCTGTGTAATTACATTGTTCAATAGTCAGCACGTGTTCAAAGTCATCTTTCAGTAACTAGAAGTACCATAGCGTGCACGGTAAAGTTCTGAAGGTCGCTATTTATTGACAAATGAGTACCGGAGCACCGGCAGCTTAAAATCGCTTTACCCAATGATCACTATTGTGAACAATTTCTGTGGATCCCGCGATGTTCGTTGTAGCGGCATTCCACTGTACGTCGCGGATCAAAAAATAAAATGATTTCACTTGTATTTACGCGAGGACGACCTGTGGCTTTGTTTACAATGCCACATTCACCGGTCTCATCCATACCCATGATACTGTTTAATAATAAAAGGAGCTAACAGGCTGAAATTTCAACACTCAAATTTACAACTGTTTTTTTAGTTTAAAAGTATAGCCTTTACTAGTTTACACCAAAACATTTTTTTTTAAAACCCGGATACATCTAAATAGTAATTTAAAAGGAAGACGTACAACTTTTACATAAGAAATCGATCATTGTTTACTAAAAACAATAAGCCAAGACAATATTAGTTATCCCACAAGTGCAAGTGGAAAACAGAATAATATGTACATTGTAGTTGGCCGGGGCAAGAGCTTGGGCTATAAAACTTGGGCAGGCCTATACATTGTATTAAATTTCCCCTGTCCTATGAAACTCTTAATTTTCGTAAAAAAAATAATAATAATTTCTGTGTATGATTGCTTAAGAACAGTTATGTTTTGCATTTTGTTTCAATTAAATATCTGTAGATCAACGTTATGAAAACCAGAGAATTGGATTGAAAGCTGCGGGATGGATGGTTTAGCAGGTTGTGCTGATTCCAGAGGAATTGTGCAAGATTCCACATCAACTCATTCTCATTCCACGAGGGTTGTTGCTGATGAGGACAGTGTACACGTGCATAGTCAAGATGATTCAGAGACCCAAGATGAACAACAAAATGCCACTACCAACAAGAATTGTGCTGTTAGCAGTTCCAGCAATCCACTGTTTGATACAAATGCCAACAAATCAGTCACCGTGTACAGAGAAAAAGATATGTCATCACATGAAGTAAACCTTGACACTTGGAACAAACAGACCAAGACCACAGGATTAAACAGTGAACACCACTCAATGAGTAGCAGTTCTTGTGCATATGGGGAAACATCCATGAGTTGTGCCCATTCTAGTGGGGGTCAAGTTGGAGAATCAGATGGGTCTGCGCAAAGTGTTCTAGTACTCGAGAAACCATTGAACGAAGCTCTAAATGATGCAGGACACTTCTCCTATGTTACACTGTGCAGTGTAAATTTGTCAATTCTATTTGAGGACCAGTGGAACAAGTAAGTGAATCAAGATTAAAATCAGAGAAATTAGCCCCCATCAAAAAACAAACAAACCTGTTTGGACAAAAGGAACTGGCACAATCAATTTTTAGTTGTCATAGGCAGAATGACGGCATTATTCTCAACACAAACTGTGACTGCACAAAACTATTTTTGTTAAAAATTTATAGTAAATGGTAAGAAAATGTTCAATGTTATGACCATATTTTCACCATTTGTAGAACTTGGGTGCAGACCATTAAGTAGGCTTGAAATTGCCTACATAGTCCAGATCACTATTTTTGTGCTATTACAGCATTTTGTGGGCCATGAACTTGATGGTTGTAAAAAAGATGGGTGGAAGCCGTGCACAGGACTGTGAGCTCGTTTAAAGTGGGCCCTAAAATTGCTCTATTGTGCAATGGAGCACATTTTACAAAATGGCGATGTGCAACAGGCCTACTTTTGGGGTTGATCATCTTTGAATTGAATTTTCTCCCAAAAGTCATCATTTAACAGAACGAAAAAATGAAAGAAGATGAAATATCTTTAATTTGATGTCTCAAACTCCTGTACTGGGAGAATACTTTAAATAATTTTTGGTAGTGCGGGTAATTATCACTGAGGTCTATGGAAATCGATTTACTGGTCTGCACACAATATACCTTCAAAGTGGATGCTGCCATGCATGCAGTGACAGTGATTCAGTGTGCGGAACCTGGAGGAGGGCACCACCATTTCAAAGAGGTTGTCACCAAGGGCGGATCCACAACAAATGCCCCCAAATCTTCAGGGGGTCGAAAAGCCATCAGCCGATTATTGAGAAAAAAAGTGGGAAGGTAGGGGGGAGTTGGGAGGAGCTCAATTAACACTATTGGGGGGCGCTCTGCAGCAGAGCAAGGTGCATACAAACTGCCCATGTTTAGGCCTGATATCAAACGAAAAGAATTTTCCCCTCAATTTTTTGATAGAATATGAGTTGAGGATCAGGAAAAATTGCAACATTTCAGGTATATTTAAGAAGTGCAGAGCAGTAAATAGGCTCAAAATTGCCTAAGCGGGCAAAATCATGATTTGTAAGCCCTCAAGTTTTTTGCTATTAGAGCAATTGTGGGCCATGAGCTTGACGGTTTGAAAAATAGATGATTTAGTTGGAAGCCATGCACAGGACTGCGAGCTAGTATATATATATATATCTGTGAAATTTGGATGAAATTGGGCCTTAACTTTGTTCTATTTTGCAATGGAGCGCTATAAAGCTTTAATTTGATAGGTGTCTCAAACACCTTAGAGTGAGTAATATAAATATTTCTTGGGAAGTGCATGTAATTATAGGGCTATGGGAGTTTTACTGGTCTGAGCTGCACCCAAAAGTTGGGAATAACTACATTGTGACAAATTTTATATAATATTTGTTGTGATGTAAAGAAATATTCTCAATTAAGGATGAAGTGAGTCGTATATGTTTCGATCCAAATGCAACATATTTCTGGAAGAACCTTTGATGCTACCCCCCCCCCCCCAGATCTTTCAAAATCCACAGAAAGTGTTTTGAGCATTATACAGGATTCGGGAAGGTAGGGCCCTTACAGTGTTACTCATGATGCCCTTGAAGTTATAAATGTAGCAAAAAAATGTGCCATTGGGCCCCCGCACATTGTTGATCTTGGAGGAATCATGAAGTTCCTGAATATTAGCAGCTGATTTCACGAAACAATGCATAACTTACGCCATGCACCGGACTAACATAACAAATTTATTGAGCAGCTGTGCATAAACTTACGATCGATTTACAAAACTTAGTGTAGCTACGCAACGTTTTTAATAATTTAAACATGTTAGACAAAGATATTAATAACACTTACAACGACTGCTTGAGTATGATCTTGTTCGGTCATAAAACAGTTGTTGAATCACCTCCGCCCGCCATTTAAAAAAAAAAAATCCGACTTGCTTTGGAACCGTGCATGTCACGAGCAAAATAGAAATTCATTGACTTCTTTTACTTGAGTGTCTTCTTTCAACTTTGATAAGCTTTGCAATAACAGGCTCCACCACGATGAACATGATTTGCTGGTAAAAAAGGTCATTTTCAGTCAAAATGCCACTAGTTAAGGCACCTAAATTGATTGCGCAAGTTACAAATGTATGCTATACTTTGTTGAACGAGTCACAGACTTATACACGCTATGAAACTTTCATGAAATTGTCATAACTGAAAAGTTGCGCAACTTGCGCCATAAATTGTGGCGCAAGTAGACTTATGCCATTGCATAAAGTCTTGTGAAATCAGCTGCAAATATGAATTGCAAAACAAAAAAATGTGTACTTTTTCTGCAGAGATTGGAAAGAGAGAACCGTCCGTAGCCTGGTGAAGCACATGAATCTACCCAAGAAGGTGGTGGACACAATGCTGATGTTCATGAGTACACCGCATGATAAAGAGGATGCTATGATCTTCGCTGACAGCTTGAGGGAAGACCCTAGCCTTGTCAAACCACAACTTGTGCCACAGGTTGATATCAAAATCAGTAGTCATTTTGAGATATGGTAGACACAAAAGGACAGTGCTATTTGGTTTGGGTGTAATTCTTTGAATTTACTCAAACCAAATAGTACCCAGCCCCTCCTATTGCATCTGCCATATGTACATTATGTACCTCGAAAAGGTTAATTGGCCTCGGTCACTTCATACTGTGTAAAACTGATGTACAGGGTGGATATATAAACAAAACAGAAACCGAGATATTATTGCTAATTGGAACAGAAGTAGGGCACATGTGAATCAAAGGGAGATATCCTCTGTTGTATCTCCTCTTTAAAATGACACCCTGATCATGTAATTACATTCACGGTTGACTGAGCAGTGACCAATTTTATGAAACGGTCTTCTTTTTTTTCCCCACCTGCCTTGATTGGCAACCATAGCCTTTCACTCTGTGACAAATGACACCACAAAAACCACAATTGAAAAGTAGCGCAATTCTCTAAATGGACCCTTTCATAAAATTGGTCACTGCTCAGTCAACCATGAATGTAATGACATGATCAGGGTGACATTTTAAAGAGCCTACATTCAACACTAATAGAGGATATCTCCCTTTGATTCACATGTGCCCTACTTCTGTTCCAATTAGCAATAATATCTCGGTTTCGTGGGTTTTTTTATCCACCCTGAACAGTGGCTTTATGAAGATCATTCTCCAAGGACAAATGTCAGGTCTTATCCACTGCTCAAGTAGATCGTCCAAAACACTTAAAACGTTGCCTTTAGAATATGCTTAAAGTTTACCGTGCAGCATTACTACATGGTCTTAGCGGTGCCAAGCAAATCCTCTTGTAAGCAAATGAGCTCCCTCCCAATCACTCCATTGGAGTCTTTGCCGATTCCGGTAATTGCATCTCCATAGCACGTACTCTATGTAGACAGTGTGTGCATATATATCCATACAGCCGACTGGCTGGAAATTGCACAGGTCTGAGAGTAATGCCTACAGGTCACTATTTCTGGTAAGCAGCAAATTAAAAGGAATGATAGTAATGCAATCAAACCAGTCAAGTTACATGGTAAAATAACTTGGAGTTGCTTAGTAAAAAATGTTGATTAACAAATGTAAAGGTAAATGTAAATGTAAAGGGTGAGCACTGCTTGAACTTATTTTCATCATATAAAGGTAGAGTATAGATATATCATTTGCAGCTATCCAAAAAGGAACTTAATTATTGTTGAAAAGCACCATTTATTAAGATGGTAGTGGCACTAAACTCCCTGTAAAACTGTTCTTTTTGGCATGCTGTCATTTTAAAGAAATAATTACAGAAGGTCATTTCCAAAAATGCGTCTAATTCAGTTAAGCCGTGAATGGGTGCATGCAATTGACATGACGCACACGCGCGTGTGGTTGCTATAATCCGTCGGTTCAGTGTGTAACATTGTGTAGCTGCAATCGGCTGAATGAGAACGTGTCCCGGACAGCTGATTATGGGTGCAATTCAAAACATGACTCGGCAACATTTGAATTGAAAGCGAGATCCTAGAATATTGTTTTCTAAGAATATACAGCATAATTCACTGAGCTAGAAATTCATCAGGTTAGGTGTTAAGCACCAGTGTTGAAGTCAAGTACTTTTTCCCGATTACCGAGTACTGCCGAGTACTTAGATTACCGAGTACAAGTACGAGTGCTTGTACTTCCGAGTACAAGTACAGGTCTCAGAATACGAGTACTTCCACTTCCGAGTACGAGTACAAGTACTTTTATTCTGAGTACAAGTACTTTTATTTCCGAATATGGCTACACGGCAATGGTTCATTGTGCGTTATTGGCCCAGGCCCAGTCAGACTGATATACAGACCATTCACGGCTAGCTTTTTAATGTGTTTGCTTGACGTGCACGGAGGAAATGAGGAAACTTCCATTTCTCCGCAAGCCAATCAACCATTTCAAACTGAAAGTATGGATAAAAAAAGGATGTGGTAAGTCAAGCTATACCTTTTTTTTTAGAGACTGCTATTCGAGTATGAGTTCTTTGATGATCGAGTACAATTTTGACATGTCGAGTACGAGTACTTTGCTACCTAAGTCAAGTACTGTCAATCTCAAGTTCGAGTACTTTGACAATCAAGTACGAAATACGAGTATGAGTACTCTTAAAAAAAGTACTCGAGTAGTACGAGTACTACAACACATTTGAGCACCCTTAAATTTGAGCACTTTTGTTGCTTCAAATGAGAAAAATGTACAAATGATATACTCTACCTTAAAGTGCCAGGCTGAAAACTAGTCACAAGCCGTATATCTTTGCATGACACTGTGGCTGTTACAAAAACATTTCTGTGCTCATTTCTGTGCTTGAAGTTATCCACAGCTATTATTTGTAGACTGTATCAGGCCAGGCTCTTTTACTGTGATTATCCATGTAACAACAGACATGTAGATCCTGCTAAATTTCTCATTGCAGTAAGCATAACCATACTTTTCCTGGAACCCACACATTGATTAAAAAGACCCTCACGGATGAACAAATGTACATGTACATACTGGTAGATCAGCCACTGTTAAAATGTTATTGGTAATTAATGAACGGTGTGCACGTGTCATCAGCCTCACCATATTGTGAGGGATAGGATAGTTTATCATTTTGTGGTGTGGAAACAATTAATAATACTTCACTTTGCAGTGCGACAGAAGCTATAACCTATTGAAAGGTTGCTGATAATGGAGTTCCATGCAATCTCTTTAGGATCTAATAGGTCATGCCTTGGCAGATGGACAGTATGATGCCCGTTCTCGGGTCTTGGCTCTTCATGTTGCCAGCTTGATGGGTGTGCAAGAGACAGAGATCCACGACTTTGAAGCTACAATTGTAAACTCCTTCATTCAGGAAGAGGTGGAGCTGTCAGAGTAAGTGAGTTTTTTTTTTTAACCATGGCAACCATATCGGGCTGGTTGTCAGTATTTTTACTTTTTAACTGTACCACTTGGTTATTGCAGTCAATATTTGTTTTATAACACCTCATCCAGATCCATATGGATGCTGATTATCAGGGGGTGTTCACCTATTTTTGTCAAAAGATGTGTAGCCTACAGAATCAACCACCTTAAATATATTTTAAAATTAAGTAAGGCAAGTTTTTATCACTTTTGATGGACAGTCTCAGTAACTTTCGTGGCGCGAATGTCAAAATAAGTACTGTATACCTTGCTCTATGCTCTATTCAATCAGCACAAACAAAATTGGTGAAAAAAAACCTTTCCAACCTACAGACCCAACTTTTGAAAGGCACCTTTGCCTAATCGGAGGTATGATACTTACATTTAATCCATACTTTCCGGGTCAGGAAGTTTTATGTTATTGAAAATGTTGGTTCTTTTTATAATAATTTTAATATTTTTTTTTTTATGAATCCCAGATTAAGTTTAAGAAAAAATCTACCTTAAAGACCCCACATTTGCTCTAAAATGCACCAGAGAGCTTCTAGCGAGCCTCAACTCCACGCCATACAGGCTTATGCGCTCGCATTAGTTCTTGGAGCACAAATGAACCTACGTTAAAATTTGCAGACTTTGTGGTGATTTTGTGTTCTCATGCCCGAGGGTAAAACCAGGTAGGTTCCCGGGAAATTTACCTTGTGAAAACATGAAAACAAAACAGGATTTGTGTCAGGATTTAACACCCTAGCCAGGTGTAGGCCTATCAACTTCCACATATCCACCTGCCCTTTTAACAAAGTCCACAGCGGCAGTGCATATCTTCCATGATGTAGCAGATTGATCACATAAATTGTCCATTTGGTGATGAATGTGGTTTTGCAAATCCAGTAGGTTTTGGAGGTGGTCTTCTGAAAATCTTGTTCTCTAAATATCTCCACTAAAAAGGGAGTAAAACAGAGAGTCAAAACCGGTGACCTGGGAGTCCATTCAACACCATTATTCAGTGCGATTACTCGGCTGTCCCTAAAAAGTTCCTGTGTGCAATTTCTGACAGCAGTGTGTCTGTGGGCTGGGGCATTATCTTGTGCCCACCACAGCCATGTGGTTGCGAAGGCAAAGTGTCTGCCGTTGATAGCAGAGTTAATCCAATTGCATATTAAGACGCTATAACAGAGCAGTGAAATTCATGTACCCCCAAACACAGTGCCTTTTTAACGTGTTGTTTCTCAGCCTATGCTCAGTATGATTGAAAAGTTAAATCATAACGGAAGAAGAAATTCTAAACTTCATGTAAATGAAAAAAATCAACCAAGATAAGCCGTCAAAAAGGGTGATATTTATCAACTAATTACTTGTGAAGAAGGCTTTTTGTAAAAAGTTTTACTGCACACCACAATGGATCTATAACTTTATTAATATGGGCCTTATTCACAAGTCGACCATATTGAATTGAAAGTGAGATAAAATCTTAATTTTTATCCCCCTGACTGTAAGCCGGAGGGGGATATTGCGATAGCGTATTCCTTCTGTGTGTATGTATGGGTAGGCATTACATTCACTGTGTGGACTTCCGAACAAAAGAGGTCCACATAAACCAGGTAGAGGCGACGTTGTGTGGACTTAATTGGGCAAGTCCACACAGTGTTTCCCAATTTCTGGAAAACAGGTTTAGAGGCATTTTTGGGTTAGGTTTATCTGTGGCAAAATGAAGAGAAACACTGAAGGAAATCATAGAAAAACAAGTCAGGTGTGTTTACAAACACAAATGCCCCGCAACCGTGACTGTTCCGATGACATAACACCACTCTTTTAACATCAACTTACATGTACCTTGGTCACATGGAACGTTCACTGACAGCATTAGTGTCTTTTGTAGGTTTTATATGAATTAATCCCTAATCCCAATAATCTCAGAATAAAGTATTTCTCAAGTTATCGCGCTGACAAGATTTCTATTGTTTTAGCCACTGTGAACTTGACCTTTGGCCCCAAATGCAAAAGGCTTCTTAAGATTACCAAGAACAATCCACAAACCAAATTGGAAGTTCATATGTTAAGTATTTCTCAAGTTATCGCGCTGACAAGATTTCTATTGTTTTAGCCACTGTGAACTTGACCCTTGACCTTTTGGCCCCAAATGCAATAGGCTTCTTAGGATTGCCAAGAACAATCCACAAACCAAATTTGAAGTTCACATGTAAAGTATTTCTCAAGTTATCGCGCTGACAAGATTTCTATTGTTTTAGCCACTGTGAACTTGACCTTTGGCCTTTTGGCCCCAAATGCAAAAGGCTTCTTAGGATTACCAAGAACAATCCACAAACCAAATTGGAAGTTCATATGTTAAGTATTTCTCAAGTTATCGCGCTGACAAGATTTCTATTGTTTTAGCCACTGTGAACTTGACCTTTGGCCTTTTGGCCCCAAATGCAAAAGGCTTCTTAGGATTACCAAGAACAATCCACAAACCAAATTGGAAGTTCATATGTTAAGTATTTCTCAAGTTATCGCGCTGACAAGATTTATCCGGACACACACACACACACACCCAGTCGTTTTTATGCCCCGCGGCGAAACCGAAGGGGCATACTGTTTCCGCCTTGTCCTTCCGTGGGTGGGTGGGTGAGTTTGTCTTACATACGCAGTGTGGACTTCCGAACAAAAGACGTCCACATAATGTAGGTAGCACCGACGTTGTGTGGACTTGCCCCACGTCCACACAGTGTTTCCCCATTTCTGGAAAACAGGTTTAGAGGCATTTTTGGGTTAGGTTTATCTGTAGCAGAATGAAGAGAAACACTAAAGGGAATCATAGAAAAAAAATTGGGTTGAAAGAGTTTTCACAGTTTGAGAAAAATGAGTTTTTTCACTGGTTTTTCTTAACTACACGAAAGCAATGGAAAGTCCACACTAGTCATGTGAAACAAGTATGGGTGGGTGTGTGGGTGGGTGGGTGGGTGTGTGTGTGTGTCCGGACAAATCTTGTCAGCACGATAACTTGAGAAATACTTAACATATGAACTTCAAATTTGGTCTGTGTATTGTTCTTGGTAATCCTAAGAGGCCTATTGCATTTGGGGCCGAAAGGTCAAGGGTCAAGGTCACAGTGGCTGAAACAATAGAAATTTTGTCAGCGCGATAACTTGAGAAATACTTTACATATGAACTTCAAATTTGGTTTGTGGATTGTCCTTGGCAATCCTAAGAGGCCTATTGCATTTGGGGCCGAAAGGTCAAGGGTCAAGGTCACAGTGGCTGAAACAATAGAAATTTTGTCAGCGCGATAACTTGAGAAATACTTTACATATGAACTTCAAGTTTGGTTTGTGGATTGTCCTTGGCAATCCTGAGAAGCCTTTTGCATTTGGGGCCGAAAGGTAAAGGGTCAAGGTCACAGTGGCTAAAACAAAAGAAATTTTGTCAGCGTGATAACTTGAGATATACTTTACATATGAACTTCAAATTTGGTTTGTGGATTGTCCTTGGCAATCCTAAGAAGCCTATTGCATTTGGGGCCGAAAGGTCAAGGGTCAAGGTCACAGTGGCTAAAACAAAAGAAATTTTGTCAGCGCGATAACTTGAGAAATACTTTACATATGAATTTCAAATTTGGTTTGTGTATTGTTCTTGGTAATCCTAAGAAGCCTATTGCATTTGGGGCCAAAAGGTCAAGGGTCAAGGTCACAGTGGCTAAAACAAAAGAAATTTTGTCAGCGCGATAACTTGAGAAATACTTTACATATGAATTTCAAATTTGGTTTGTGTATTGTCCTTGGTAATCCTAAGAAGCCTTTTGCATTTGGGGCCAAAAGGTCAAGGGTCAAGGTCACAGTGGCTAAAACAATAGAAATCTTGTATTTATTCTGAGATCATAGGGATTAGGGATTAATTCATATAAAACCTACAGAAGACACTAATGCTGTCAATTAATGAACGTTCCATGTGACCAAGGTACATGTAAGTTGATGTTGAAAGAGTGGTGTTATGTCATGGGAACAGTCACGGTTGCGGGGCATTTGTGTTTGTTAACACACCTGGCTTGTTTGCTATGCTTCCGAGGATTGGCTTTGTGTTTTCCTTTGTCCCTGTAATATAACACTCTCCCATAGACTAAGCACACAAACCTGCGTTCGAGGACAATAGGCACCTTCCTTCGAGGATCAATGGCCCCTTTGTGCTCCTTTTGTTGTCTGTCCTCAGGCGTAATGCCATGCAGGAACACACCCACCCACCCACCCACCCACCCAGACTTGTTTCACATACCTAGTGTGGACTTTCCTTTCTTTTCGTGTAGTTAAGGAACACCAGTGGAAAAACTCATTTTTCTCAAACTGTGAAAACTCTTACAACCCAATTTTTTTTCAATGATTCCCTTTAGTGTTTCTCTTCATTCTGCTACAGATAAACCTAACCCAAAAATGCCTCTAAACCTGTTTTCCAGAAATGGGGAAACACTGTGTGGACGTGGGCAAGTCCACACTTCGTCGCTGCTACCTACATTATGTGGACGTCTTTTGTTCGGAAGTCCACACTGCGTATGTAAGACAAGCTCACACACACACCCACACACCCACCCACCCACGGAAGGACAAGGCGGAAACAGTATGCCCCTTCGGCTTCGCCGCGGGGCATAAAAACGACTGGGTGTGTGGGTGTTCCTGCATGGCATTACGCCTGAGGACAGACAACAAAAGGAGCACAAAGGGGCCATTGATCCTCGAAGGAAGGTGCCTATTGTCCTCGAACGCAGGTTTGTGTGCTTAGTCTATGGGAGAGTGTTATATTACAGGGACAAAGGAAAACACAAAGCCAATCCTCGGAAGCATAGCAAAAAACGACTGGGTGTGGGTGTGTGTGTCCGGACAAATCTTGTCAGTGCGATAACTTGAGAAATACTTAACATATGAACTTCAAATTTGGTTTGTGGATTGTCCTTGGTAATCCTAAGAAGCCTTTTGCATTTGGGGCCAAAAGGTCAAGGGTCAAGGTCACAGTGGCTGAAACAATAGAAATTTTGTCAGCGCGATAACTTGAGAAATACTTTACATATGAACTTCAAATTTGGTTTGTGGATTGTCCTTGGCAATTCTAAGAAGCTTTTTACATTACGGGCCAAAAGGTCAAGGGTCAAGGTCACAGTGACTAAAACAAAAGAAATTTTGTCAGCGCGATAACTTGAGAAATACTTTACATATGAACTTCAAATTTGGTTTGTGTATTGTTCTTGGTAATCCTAAGAAGCCTATTGCATTTGGGGCCGAAAGGTCAAGGGTCAAGGTCACAGTGGCTGAAACAATAGAAATTTTGTCAGCGCGATAACTTGAGATATACTTTACATATGAACTTCAAATTTGGTTTGTGGATTGTCCTTGGCAATCCTAAGAAGCCTTTTGCATTTGGGGCCAAAAGGTCAAGGGTCAAGGTCACAGTGGCAAAAACAAAAGAAATTTTGTCAGCGCGATAACTTGAGATATACTTTACATATGAACTTCAAATTTGGTTTGTGGATTGTCCTTGGCAATCCTAAGGAGCCTATCGCATTGGGGGTCGAAAGGTCAAGGGTCAAGGTCACAGTGGCTAAAACAATAGAAATCTTGTATTTATTCTGAGATCATAGGGATTAGGGATTAATTCATATAAAACCTACAGAACACACTTATGCTGTCAATGAACGTTCCATTTGACCAAGGTACATGTAATTTGATGTTAGAGTGGTGTTATGTCATGGAAACAGTCACGGTTGCGGGGCATTTGTGTTTGTAAACACACCTGACTTGTTTGCTATGCTTCCGAGGATTGGCTTTGTGTTTTCCTTTGTCCCTGTAATATAACACTCTCCCATAGACTAAGCACACAAACCTGCGTTCGAGGACAATAGGCACCTTCCTTCGAGGATCAATGGCCCCTTTGTGCTCCTTTTGTTGTCTGTCCTCAGGCGTAATGCCATGCAGGAACACCCACCCACACACCCACACACCCACCCAGACTTGTTTCACATACGTAGTGTGGACTTTCCTTTCTTTTCATGTAGTTAAGGAACACCAGTGGAAAAACTCATTTTTCTCAAACTGTGAAAACTCTTACAACCCAATTTTTTTTCAATGATTCCCTTTAGTGTTTCTCTTCATTCTGCTACAGATAAACCTAACCCAAAAATGCCTCTAAACCTGTTTTCCAGAAATGGGGAAACACTGTGTGGACGTGGGCAAGTCCACACAACGTCGGTGCTACCTACATTATGTGGACGTCTTTTGTTCGGAAGTCCACACTGCGTATGTAAGACAAGCTCACCCACTAACACACACACCCACCCACCCACGGAAGGACAAGGCGGAAACAGTATGCCCCTTCGGCTTCGCCGCGGGGCATAAAAATTGGGTTGAAAGAGGTTTTTTTCGAGGTTTTTCTTAATTACACGAAACCAAGGGAATGTCCACACTTGGTATATGTGACGTGAACATGTACAGGTATGTCTGTCTGTGTGTTATGTTTTGGTTAGGTTAACTCTTGTCAGCACGATAGCTTGAGAAATACTTTACTTAGGAACTTGAAAATTGGTTTGTGGGTTGTTCTTGGTAGTCTTAAGAAGCCTATTGCTTTTGGGGCCGACAGGTCAAAGGTCAAGGTCACTATATCGCTAAAACAATAAAAAATCTTGTCAACGTGGTAACTTGAGAAATACTTTACTTGGGAACTAGAAATTTGGTTTGTAGGTTGTTCTTGGTAGTCTTAAAAAGGCTATTGCTTTTGGGGCAGACAGGTCAAAGGTCAAGGTCACTATTACCAAAACAACAGAAATGTTCCATTTTGGTTAGGAACACTGACTTTATTTTAAAAAAAAAGTGCCAGCATGCCAGTCTCACTTGCAGTATTTTTGGACTTTGCGAAGAGAAATGAAAGCAAGTACATTACTACTTAATTAACCCTAACTGCCTAGCATAATTTACTAAGAACCGTACCCATGCATCCTGGTAAATTCCAACACCCAAGTGGGAAATCGTACACACACACTGTTAGATTTAGTTTCTGGAGGTATGCTTAAATGAATAAATACAAATAAATAATTAAACATTCCCTAATGTTTGAAGCCAGATTAAAAAAAAAAATAGGAAAGTAAAATAACAAAAATGGCTACCTCGTTAATAAGGTCCATTCGTGAGGCTTGAAAAGATTGACAGATATTGCAAGTACACCATGTGTTACAACTTTAAAAAATGCACGTAGCCAGGCCTATTTTTCCAATTTCAACGAAAGTAATGAACATATCACAACGATTTTTGGCACATACTTGGATCATTATAAGGGAATAAACCCTGAAAGTTACATGAAGATACGGTTTTCCAAACGGGAGAAATTAATTTTCAAAGATTCCGTCCGCCAACGTGAACATTGAATTATTGATATGATTGGGAACAAAACTATGTGCATGTAGTTTCATTCAAAATAAAGTGTTACGTAACCTTAAAAAAATCGCCTTTACAACCACATGGCTGACCAAGGATGCTGGAAGGTACAATTTCATTGCAAAATGCAACTCAAACTGTAGCACAAGATTATCTATTGAAAGAAATCCTGGTTAGTTCATGTTTACATAGGTTAAAATTTGTGTCTTGGACCTACTTGTCTTATGTCTGGATCTGCATAATATGTTTTACACCAAACTGTCCACAGAGGGTTTTCATGTAAGATTTTCAAAACATAGGAGCTTTAATTGTGATGCATGATCAGAGGAATGCAATCAAGATATCAATGGAAAGCTTACTGCCCCTAGTTTATGATAAAACCATAATAACGATCGACAAGTTCAGTGTTTATTGATATTATCCCATTGTTTGTGGGTTACGTTCTTTTGGGACATCCTGTTATTGGGAACAAAACTGCAGTTAACATGAATATTAGTTAATTACTATGATGATTAAGAGCTTTCTTTTTGCACAAGCCTTTGATCAGTAAATTGATAATTGTACAAGAAACTACTGTGCGCTTTGAAACATGGTGGAAAGCGCATTATAAATGTTGTAAGTTATAGTTATAGTTATGATTTGTCTGGAGCGAATTTCATGATCAATCAGGTGGTCACGTTGATATACATGTACATACATTTGACATGTTCGATATATGCAAAGGAAATTAATTAAGTCTCAAGGCTGATTCATACTTTATGTGAAAGCTAAAGCAAAGCGAATGCTAACAATCAAAGTTTTACTGTGATGTTCATCGTAACGTTACCCTAATAAATTCGTTTCGCACTGAAATTCGCTTGAAGTACATGTATGAGCTGGCCTTCAGTCATTTTGCAAAATCTAACATACCTGTGTAGGCTGTGTGCTAAAATTTCATACTTTTGTACAAACTCATTCAAAGTACTCAGTCATTCTTACACTTGTTTCCGTATTTATAATTGGGTTTAACTGGGCACTCGGAAAGGCTCGTTGCTACAGCTCCTCTCTTCACTTAAACTGAAAAGTGAAAGGACCTGCTTTAAGTCAACCATTCTCTGGTGCATCGCTGCTGTTGTGTTTGTTCACTGTGGGTGCTACTGTGCCAACCAATAGGTCTCTTTCAAATGACATCACTGCCTACAGATTGTCATGTGTATCTGCATTTTTGGGAGTGAAATTCTTGTAACGTGCATCAGCTGTGCAGATTTTGAAGACATGTTGAACAATATACGCACATTTTGCACACTGCCTGCACGTGTACCTGATGGCATTGAATACTGGTATGCAGTTTTAATTCTGTATGACCGTATCTCCATATGACCATATGTCCGTAGACCTGTATGCATGTTAAATTTTCGGTTCAGTTTTTGAACAAAAATGTATAACTTGTACATGCTTTCATGGATTTTGATGAAACTTGGATGCAGTGACCCTTGGGTGGGAAGACACAATTCTTCATTAGATTACTGATGTCAAAGGTCATGTAGGGGTCATCAGAGATCATTGTTCAAAAATACTTCAAATGTTTCTTTGTCTACAGAGTTTGATGGATTTTGATGTAACTTTCATGAATAATCCTTGGGTGGGGGGGGGGTGGTTTATCACAACTCTTCCGAAATTGGAGGTCAAAGGTCATCTAGGGATTATTTGAGGTCATTGTTTACAAATGCGCATGAAGCTTGTCCTATGAAGATGGCTGTCTATAAAAGGGGTATATCCATGCGCACTTGCTGTATGCATGGAATCACCGTATGAAACAAAATCAAGCCTGCACCTTCCATTAGTGTCTTTATTGTGTAGGTTGCTGCACTATTACATTAAACACATTGAAGTGACCAGCTTGCAAGTGGAGCGCCTCTTTACTTCTAATGGTGTTTTTTTTTTCTAACAGAGAAGAGCAGAAGGAAAAGCAGAAACGAGCCAAGATGAAGAAAGTCAAGCGTTTTGCGATGATAGGGGCAGCAGCAGTAGGGGGCGGAGCTCTGATAGGTAAATAGGGGGTTCTTTTTCATCCCTACATGTCAAATGTTCTCTGGTGCAAAAAAAAAATGTAGCATCAGGTGTAGGTTTAGTAAGAAATTTGGGGGCCGTATCATAAGTCCGACGCCTCATAGGTCCGACGCCTCATAAGTCCGAAATTTTGGACTTATGAGGCGTCGGACTTATGAGGCATAAAATTTATTTATTCCGCCTCATAGGTCCGACGCCTCATAAGTCCGACGCCTCATAAGTCCAATGTCGGAAAAATTAGGTGTTTAATTTGTCGGACTTTCAAGGCGTTGGAGCTATGAGGCATCAGACCTATGAGGCGTTGGACTTAGGAGGTGTCGGACCTATGAGGTGTTTGACTTATGGGCCTTTACTTGGTTAGGGGATGCGATTTTGTTGGACTTACGAGAGGTCGGACCTATGAGGCGTCGGACTTATGAGTGGACCCTTTTTTTAATTTTCTTTTTGTAAATTTGAAAATAGATTTCATACATAATTAAGCGAGGTAGTCCAAGTAACATCCATACGTTAATAATGCCGCAGAACCTGCATGTTAACTGTAATATGTGTATGTAACTCCCTAAGGTCAAGCACATCAAAGACGACTTCAGAAACTGCCGTTATCTATTTACATGACGTGGTTGGTCTAATGCATGAACATAGCAGAATTTGAATTGAAGGTGGACGACTTTGACATGGAGACAATTTGTTGTTTTTTCCGTTATCTTTGAGCTCCCTTCACACATCAGTTTTAATGCTGACAGAAGCACAAATAGAACACTTTATGCGCTGTTGAAGTAGACAAGCACCATTCATTTGTTTTGTTCAACTTTCCACTGTCTCTGAGAAAAGAGAAAACCATACTCTGACTCCGATTGATCACGACTGCATTTGCAATGTTCTCTCAATGACATGGGCTTGCCGAAGCACCAATTATACAAGCCCGTTGATTTTTCTCAATCTGGAAGTCAATAGACAGCTGTCTTGCATTATTCTGAGCAGGTATTCTGAGCAGGTACTAAATTGTCTGCATGTGTGCTTTGTTCAATTCTGTGATAGGTTTGACAGGTGGACTTGCTGCTCCTTTGATCGCTTCAGCAGGTGCAGCATTGCTGGGAGGGAGCATTGGTTTCCTTGGTACTGCAGCAGGTGTGGCTGTCATGGCATCTGTTTTTGGTGCAGCAGGGGCAGGGCTTACAGGTAAGGCAGGGTGTGGCTCATGATTTGGTCAGCATGGGGTTTCAGGCTACTTCAGTGGGTTGTCATGGTGTTCCTGCATGGCATTACGCCTGAGGACAGACAACAAAAGGAGCACAAAGGGGCCATTGATCCTCGAAGGAAGGTGCCTATTGTCCTCGAACGCAGGTTTGTGTGCTTAGTCTATGGGAGAGTGTTATATTACAGGGACAAAGGAAAACACAAAGCCAATCCTCGGAAGCATAGCAAAAAACGACTGTGTGTGTGTGGGTGAGTATGTAAACACCGGCTATCGTGGACGTAGGACAGAAGAATTGGGGCGCAAACAATACGTCCACGATTGACCGAACGTCCATGATTGACCGAACGTCCATGATCTCAAATCGTGTACAAAACCAATGAGAGCTGTCGCTAAAAAGTACAAACAAAGGTAAGAGCTGATTAGGGACAATGGGGCGTCCACGATTGCCGGCATTTACACACGTGTGTGTGTGTTTGGTGCAGCAGAGTAGAGCTCCCAGGTAACGAAGGGACATTGCTCATATCCAGGGATGGCATGGGGTTTCAGGTTACAGCAGCAGGTGTGGCTGTCATGACATCTTTGTTTGGTCATTGGTGAAGCAGGGTTGGGGTTCTTGGAGCATGGCTTGCTGCATTCTAAGGTCTCATAGTGTGTTTTACATGGAGCTTGATAATGTCAAGATGATGCCCATCATGTGCAAACACAAAGATAGAGTATCTCCAATTTTCGAATTTTCTCATTAGAATGTTTCATCTGAATAGGAGCAAGTTCTGCAGGAACAAGATGAGTTCTTATTTCGTTCCTATGGATAGAAAGTTATATATATCTATATATATAAGAGAGAAGATGTTTGCTCATGAAAGGATCCAAGACCGCGGGCTCCCGCGGCGCCAAAATCGCTCCACGTCCGTGGAAAAATGCGGAGGGTGTCTTCCGCCGGGTCGGACGCTTCGTGTCGTCCTAATTTTCCGGTACGGACCGGCGATCCGTTTCGTCGATTTTTCGTGACTGCATTTTGCGCAGGAATTTGCTGTCGTATGCGCTTTCACGTTGACTGCCTGGCCGCCCCCCCGTGCTGGCTTTTCTGCGAGTCTAGACTGTGCGAGGTCAGCGGCTTCAACGTAGGGGTTTCGTTTACGTGTTCTACTCGGCCGTTCGGCAAAAGTGTTCACCAAACGTTAGAATGGGGTGACCTTGGCAAAATATTTTTTCTCCATGGTGCGTGGCCACCAAGTGTCCCTATTCTTTCATATGCTTCGCTTGCCGCCCCTGCGCCGAGTGCAACGAATACCCAGAAGGACTACACAATAGTATGCCTTGCCGTGGTCTGACCAATCGAAAGTCTACACTGCGTAGTACTTCCGGACTATGCGTAAAACCGTCACTGGCAACGCGTACTGCAGCCTGCTCCACACCCTGGAAACGAGGTTGAGTCTACGGTGCTCGCTATTTGAAGTGCAAGCATGTGATGTCGCTGATAGAGTGCTGTTGCTTCCATAATGTGTTTACAGCTCCATGCTTCCACTAGCTCTATGCTTCCACCAAGGCTGAGCGTTGTGAGTTCGCTGCACGTCACAGTCAGTGTCGCGTTATAATTTCGGGGGCCGGGGATCAACGAAGGGTCGATGCATTGCTTCAAATATTGCGATCTTGAACGCAGTCACAAAAAAATCGACAAAACGGATCGCCGGTCCGTACGGAAAAATTAGGACGACCTGAAGTGCTTGATTTGGCGGAAGAAATTCGCCGTATTTTTCTATGGACGTGGACGGAGCCATTTTGGCGTCGCGGGAGACCGCGGTCTCGGAACCTTTCAGGAGCGAACATTTCTCGGAGGCCGAATAAAACTTGCTCTTATATAGATGGTTGACCAACTTGAATAAAAGTTGAATCGACTTTTTCCTCGCTGACGGTCTCGTAAATTGTAAGACTAAGAAGTTCAAGTTTACGTTTGTTGAAGAGTCCAATACTGAAACTTAAATTATGACCTTCCTCCATCATTCACACCGTTTGTAATTTTATGGTAACTAACACTCAACATTTCCATTGCAAATGACAACTTCACGTTTGATTACATTATGATTTATTTTCAAAACTGTACAATCAGCCTTCGTCTGTGTACTACGGTAACCTTTTCACTACGTTCTCCCGGCAATGCGACTGCCTCACAAAATGCCAATTCAACAGACCACTCGGGAACATTTACAGACAGTTATCAGGGTACATAATTATCATGTGCGTAAATCGGTGGGGAAGACAAGAGGGGGAACCCCCCCCCCCCCCACATTTTAAAGCGGGGACATTGTTTGGTCCCCCCCCCACTTTTTCTTCCCCGAATAAAAATTGTAGCCTACTATAATGATTCCATTGCTCAGAATACCGTGTAGCTGATTCAATTACCCCAAACTCGAAAATGATGTTTAAAAGATGATCTTTTGCTCAAATTGGTTTCAGTGGTCAGAAATTGCCTCAGATCACACCACAAAAATTGTTTTTCTATAACTGCATGTCTCCTCAATGATCCCCCATTTACATTTAACTGCCCACATTTTCATCCCCAACACTACGCCCTATATACCCGATCTATGATCGGGTAAATCAGCTTGTATATATATATAGCAGAAACTCATAAAGGCACATTTTCCTAGCGTGGAAAAGTGTGTTGCACAAGTGGATGCAAAAAATTAAATCAAAATTTTCACGGTCTGCAGGAGAGTTGATTTCATATCCCTACACATCTCTTAAGAGATAACACAAAATGATCTGAATGTATTGAATCTACAGGCCTAGGGGAGCTAGGGACTGTTCAATGTGGATGAGACTGAACATCATATGAAACAGGTGAACTGTTCATCAGTGCCACTGGGGGTTCTATATTCGTCCAATACTGGAATCTGGAGTGGTTGTGTGGTCATCAGGAATTATGGAAATCCAAGCTCAAAATACTGAGAGAGTTCAAGAAAAGGGCATTGCATATAATTGCTTATCCCAATATTTTATCCTATCACGACCTCATGGATTTTTTTAAGATTGAATCTTTAAACAAAAAACGTGAACATGGTTCTGAAATTTACAAAGTCCCTACTTGTTTCCAATAGGCACCACCACCTCCTACCACCAGAACGGAAATCTGTCAATTTGTCAGAGCATATTAAGAAACACATCACAACTTAAAACCCTACGAATAAGAACCCAAAGATACAAAAAATCACCAGTACCATCAATGGTACAGATGCTGAATTCAGCAGACTCATTAGGTTAATGAAATATCAATCCCTCATTTCTTTGTAATTCCCTTCATATATGCCCTCATATCTGTTGCCCCCTTGCACCTATCATTACTTTCCTTTTATACATGTACATGTAGGCCTACCCCATGTTTAAACAATGTCTTCATCTCACTTTCATCCCCCTGGCTGTAATTATAGCCAGAGGGGGATATTGCGAATGCGTATTCCTTCTGTGTGTCTGGGTGTATATGTGTTCTATATAACCCCATAGGACAGACACACAAAAGGAGAACAACAGATCCTTTCGATCCTGGGGTGTAGGGTCCTTTGTTCAAAATGGTCCTCTGTAGTTAAACGCTTAGTCTATGGGAGAGTGTTCTAGTACAGGGACAAAGGGAAACACAGAGCATTGTCCACAAGAGTATAGTAAAACACGACTGTGTGTCTGTATGCTAGTATGTAAACACCGGCAATCGTGGACCTAGGACGAAAGGATTGGGGCTCAAAAAATACATCCACGATTGACCAAACGCCCACGATTGAAAATCGTGTACAAAACCAATGAGACACATACGTGCAACATCATCGGTGAATCGAGGACAGAAACTGAATCGTGGACTCCTGGGTTGGAAAAGGTGTACAAAACCAATGAGAGCTGTTGCAAAAAAAGTTAAGGTAAAAACAAAGGAAAAGGGAAGAGGAACAAAAGAAAATCCTTGATTTACACCATAAACAAACATGCGTGTTTATGGTGTAAATCGAGGACACACATGTGAAACATCATCGATAAATCGAGGATAGAAACTGAATCGAGGACTCCTCCGTTGGAAAACGTGTACAAAATCTATGAGAGTACAAACAAAGGAAAAGGGTCGAGGAACAAAGAAAATGCTTGATTTAAACCAGTGTGTTATGTTTTGGTTAGGTTAACTCTTGTCAGCACAACAACTTTAGAAATACTTTACTTGATAGTCTTAAGGTTCCACCACACCAAATACGTGCTCATCAATATCGTACACAAAGGGCGCCGCCTTGTGACGCTCAGGAGCAAGGTGGTACTATTTGCTTTCCTGGAAATTAAAGATTGTGACCCCCTGAACATTTTTCTTTTCAATTTTATTAGTGGCAACTGGGTCAATTTTTTTTAAATATTCCCCTCCCCCAAACCACCCCTAAAACGGTTGTTAATCCCTGGGCCCAGGTCTAAATGTAACCCCCGCCTCTATGCGAAATAGACCCACAAGTCCGGCTTTTTGGGAATAAAATCGACTGAGTTTGAAGCCACAAGTCACAAATACTTGATTGACATAAATATTTCTACAATCTATCCCAATTATAGGCCACAAGGACCTCTTATTCAAAATTAACTGTAGGGTCACAAAATATTAATGAGCTTGCGCGCACTAATTTAAAGGTTTATGATGGCGTGCACCCTTAAGAAGTGGGGCTGACAGTTCAAAGGTCAAAGGTCACTGTCGCTAAAACAAAAGAAATCTTGTCAAGAGATATCTTGAGGAACTTGAAATTTGGTTTGTGGGTTGTTCTTGGTAGTCTCAAGAAGCCTATTGCTTTGGGGTCTGGGTCAAAGGTCAAGGCCACTATTGCTAAAACAATAGAAATCTTGTCAAAGTGGTAACTTGAGAAAAACTTTACTTAAGAACTTTAAATTTGGTTTGTGGGTTGTTCTTGGTAGTCTTAAGAAGTCTATTGCTTTTGAGGCCGACAGGTCAAAGGTCAAGGTCACTATATCCAAAACAATAGAAATATTGTCAGAACGAAAGCTTGAGAAATACTTTACTTAACTTCAGATTTGGTTTGTTGGTTGCTCTTGGTAGTCTTATCAAGCCTATTGCTTTTGAGGCTGACAGGTCAAAGGTCAAGGTCACTATATCCAAAACAATAGAAATATTGTCAGAACGAAAGCTTGAGAAATACTTTACTTAACTTCAGATTTGGTTTGTTGGTTGCTCTTGGTAGTCTTATCAAGCCTTATGCTTTTGGGGCCGACAGGTCAAAGGTCAAGGTCACTATTGCCAAAACATTAGAAATGTTCCTTTTTGGTTAGGGACAATGACAAGTATCCGTACTAATTGACTTCATAAAAACTGCCAGCATGCCAGGGGGATCGCGCAAGTTGCACTTGCATAATGGTTTTTTTAACTTGTAATTTTTGTCGTAGTCATCGTAAACCAATTTATTTAAGTCTTTCATTTTTTATCATTTTTTAATCAAATTAACCAGAATAGGTTTTAGCCCTCTTACCCCCACCCCTGGATCCACATATACTTTTCGAAGTTTAATCCTAAACCTTGCACAAGCAGGAACCTTTTGTTCTTAATTAAAACAACCTTCAACATGGAACCCTCAATAGTGGACCAGCCAAAGTGGAATAGTACACTTTGGACAGCATTTTTTTGTGATAGCAGGCAACCATGTCAGATCAATCAGTCATACCATAGGTTGGAGAAGAAAATGTAAGTGGATACCACCCTTAAGTTTGACCCAAATTTATCTAATTTGCATGAATTGTTAATCCCTGGTGTGTGATATATTTATTCCCATATTTGGGTATATTCTTTATTTTTTTATTTTTTGAAAAGTTTATTTGGTGATTCTACTTCAATAACATTTTCTTCAGCATATAAGTGACTGAATATTTATGAGGACATAGTAACCATCCAAAATGGCTACTATTATACCCAAAATTGCACGCATTTACCTTGTGTCCAGATATCATCAAGTAGTCTTGCCAAACCTCCATATTGATGAAGTTCCACTTCATCAGGTTGTTTACTGGCACAGTTACCCTATTAAAACCTGATGGAAAATCGTGTGAACAATGATATTAAACATTGTGATATTTAGCTCAGCAAACAAAAACAAGGAAAAACGAGCTGGCTGTCCGTAAATTGGGCTAAAATTAGGTGATGGGTCGTCTTCCCTGAATAAGTTAAAGGAAACCACCCCCTCCTCCCTCTCCAAAGAAAAATTGCTTGCAATAAATATGTCAATGTCAAATTGTTTTCTTTCCATTAATTTTTTTTTCCAATTTTTTTTTGGAATTTTCTTGAACTTTTTCAAGACTCACACGTTATGCAACTCTTCACCAATTATGCCAATTAACAGACACCTTGTTTTCCCCGTTTTTGTTTGCTGGGCTAAATTTCACAACGTTATCATTGTTCACATGATTTTCCATTTTAATTGGGTAACTGTGCCAGTAAGCAACCTGATGAATTTGAAGCTTGTTAATACTGAGGTTTTTGCAAGACTACTTGAAGATATCTGGTAAATGCGCGCAACTTTTGGGTATAATATTAGCCATTTTGGATCGTTACTATGTCCTCATAATTATTCAGTCAAGTATATGCTTAAAAAATGGTATTGGAGTAAGGATGTGTTACAATCACCAAAATAAAATTTTCAAAAAATAAAAATATAAAAAATATACCCAAATCTTGGGAAAGAAATATATTACACGGTAGGTATTAACGATTTATGCAAATAAGGTATATTTATGGTCAAAATTAACAGTGGCATTCACCCACATCTTGTTTGTTATGGTTCAAAGAATTGATCTAGCATGGATGCCAGCTATTACCAGAAATGCCGTGAAATTATTTTCTAGAGAACTTTTCCACATTTGGCTTTCCTACTACAAAGCACTTTGGTTTAAGTGAGCCAAATTTTCACATGGCTTCTTTGTAACTTATATTTTTTCCTTATGTCTCTACATTTGTAGGGTTCAAGATGAAGAAGAGAGTGGGTGCTATTGAAGAGTTTGAGTTTGAATGCATATCAGAGGAGAAAGATTTGCATGTGACTATCGCTGTCTCTGGGTGGTTGACTAAGGACACAATGAGTAAGTCATGTCCAGCTATTTGGAACTTCACTAAACATTCACACTTAGTGGGGTCCACAAAAGATTGTTTGGTATAGCAGTCTGAGAATGTTATTGCTGGATGTTCAGTACAGCGATGTTCATTTTGCGTCAGTTTTACTTCATCAGACTCTGTCTTGTCCAACAGATGAGAATGTCAGAAATGTGCGAGCTGCAAACTGTTACAAGGTCAGCCAAAGAAAACCTTTAAGTGTAGCTTAAGCCCTCTTCACACGACAACAAAAAACTCACAATGTTTGAGACTCCTTTTACGAGCGCCGATTGTTTATCTTATCATTACGTGCTCCACTACATTCGCAAGGCTTGACACGACAACAAGCGCAAAGTTGAGATCGATCTTTGAGAGGACATTGCGCAATTTGCTGGTTGCTGCTACACTGTGGGACTTGCAATGATAAATGGTACTAGTACCAGTGCAGTAGCGCAAATTTATATCCCTGCAGTTACAAAATAACCGACTGTAGAAACACAGAAAAATCGGGGAAGGAGCAGCCCGCGAAGAGCAATGCCAAGGAAGTTTTGACAGAAAAGAAGACAAAATGCTCATCAGATGGAATTTTGCGAAGGGGTGATGTAAATCAAATTAGGTTTTGCCCTTCACCGACGTATAAACACTGTATACTCAGTGTGTTACCTCCTAAGTGAAAGTTGGAAAAAATCACTCGGGTGGGACTTGAACCCACGACTTACTGCTTTCTAGTGCAGATGTCTTACCACTCGACCACCGAGCTAACGGGATCAGTTTGCTGCTTCGAATCTAATGTACATAGCAGCGGGTACCGCATTAACTATCCATTTTGCGAAGAGGTGATGTAAATCAAATTAGGTTTTGCCCTTCACCGACGTATAAACACTGTATACTCAGTGTGTTACCTCCTAAGTGAAAGTTGGAAAAAATCACTCGGGTGGGACTCGAACCCACGACTTACTGCTTTCTAGTGCAGATGTCTTACCACTCGACCACCGAGCTAACGGGATCAGTTTGCTGCTTCGAATCTGATGTACATAGCAGCGGGTACCGCATTAACTATCCAATTTGTGTCGGGGTGATGTAAATCAATTAGGTTTTGCCCTTCACCGACGTATAAACACTGTATACGCAGTGTGTTACCTCCCAAGTGAAAGCAGACTTCTCTCTCAATGTAATGACGCTTTTTTGGTAATTTTTGAACAGTTTCTTGGGGTAGAAATTAAGATTTTCCTACGCGGTTTATGGGCCGGTTGGTGCCGTGTAGCGCGACTTGCATGCTCACGTACATTACGCTGTGATTCGCATCTTTATTTTCATGGTGCGTTTTGTTGTTTTCATCATCATTTTACCCTCAAATTGCCCTCAAAAGTTCCAAACCTGCCCTATATCTATGACATACATGAATGTTCTTAATGTCGCCAACTAGTTCGGTAGGTCAAATAATTCAAAAGTGAAAGCTCTTGTGAGTTATGATGACATGGAATGATGTAATGGGTATTCCTGCTCAGATGTGTACTTGTGTGGTATTTTGTCAAGAATCTTCCTCAATCTTCCTAAATCCAATAATATACAGGAAACTATTAAGATATTTGTAAGTAGTAAAATTCAAGGGGTTAATCAAGATATGTAATGCTATCATGACTAGCAGAAAATATCCTCAAACTACACAATTTTCCAAAATATCATTGTGGATGTTAAGCAATTTTGGAAGATATGCTTCAAACCTTCTCATTTATCTTTTTACACTTTCCATTTTTCCCCCTATCTGCCCGCTGAGCACCCTTGATAACTTGCTTTATAACATTGTGTGCTTGAGATGATTTGATGAAACTTGTCTTATCTTGCGACTCATAGATGAGTCCCCCGCTCTAAGATCGATCTTAGCTAAGACACGTCCTAAGACCAATTTCACTAAACCATTTTAAGCAAGACGCATCAAAACTACAAGTGCCAATATGATAGTGTTTCATGTTTGTTTTCACTGCTTGACGAAACAGTCATTGGAAAGAAACGCACAAAACTAACTTCCCGTGCATGTGCATAGAACACAAATTTTGCCAGAAAAATTACTCTACTCAATAAATGTCACACGCAAAACAGTTCTGCGCGATACACAGTAGAGTCGTTCTTGCTCCCCGATTCATAACTCTATTTTAAAAAGTCAACTAGGTGTTGGAGAATAATTACATTTTGTAAATAAGCTGTTTTTGTTAAAACTACCCACGTATCAGAAATCTTTTCAAATCCGTTTCTACAGTGTGCATAACAAAAAGTGCAAACAAAATATCACAGAATGCCAGACAAAGAATGTGTAACAAACATAGATAATATAGGTATGATTTAAAAGATACGCCTTTCCACTTTAAAAATGAGACATCAAACGTCCAAATCTGATATTTTTTGACAGAGTTATGAGTAATTTCTAAGAGAGGTCAAATTGACCATGGGACCAAGTTTCAATTTTAGGCATTGGGACAAAGGTAGCCTAATTGCCTCTGTGTGGATATTTCTAAGTTCTAGCTATCACCTCATGCTAAAAATGTTTAGCCTGTAAGCATGTTTACAAACTGATAGCAAGAAAGTGTTTAGAATTGTGTTTACTCGTTAAACACATTTCTTGTCGGCAAGGCAATTATCAACACAGAGGCTATTAGGCTACCTTTGTCCCAATGCTTAAAATTCAAAACTTGGTCAATTTGACCTCTTTCGGAAAATTACTCATAACTCTGTCAAAAAATATATATTTGATTTGGACGTTTGATGTCTCATTTTAAAGTGGTAAGGCGCATCTTTCAAACCATACCTATATTATCTATATGTATGTTGGTTACGAGTTCTATGTCTGGCATTGCGTTGTATGTTGTTTTCATTTTTTTTTTATACACACTGTATAGCGGTTTTCTTCCTCGAAACTGTAACTCTAGGCCAACACTCATCTGTAATGGCAAGACGATATACAAATTGACGCATGCATTAATGAGATAAGACAACCCTCAGACCGATCTTAAGTTAAGATGAGTTCAGCTGTGTTGCTAAGGGAGTAAGGACGTGTTGAAAGTGTCTTAAGTTTGGTGAAATCAATTCTAGGATGAGCCATGAGTTAACTGTTACCCTTCGTAAGATGCGACTTAGTGTTTCATAAAATTGGCCCCTGCTTTCATGCTCATAAAGTAGCCATTATGTTTATACATGTACTTAAAGATTTACAAAACATGATACTTTACTCACTGAATGGATATCTGCATTACTTTGTTCACTTTACATTGTCTACTGTAAGCTTTTTATTTTATTTTAATTTTTTTATTAATGACCATTTTGTTTTTAATCTCATACCTTTTTTTTCACTCTGATTATATCTGTAACCCAGCTTATGAGGATGTTCTTTACAGTAAGTATGGTGAATGCTAAGATGATCCACATTGCTTATCAACCAACTTCAGTTTGTTTGTTATTTTTACTCTTTCAGTTGTATCATGCTGAGTGTCTGGCTGACAAACTGAATTTGTCATACCATCAAAATGAGGCATAATTGTGTTGATTGTACTACAAATATGCATGGTTATTTTCAGAAAGGTGCACATTATGTTTAACCTTTCTTTAATTAAGTTGAACTTCAAGTTGAAGTTGTAAGTTGAACTTCACTTGTGAATGTCTTTTTAAAGTTATTTTTTTTATATGTGTATGTGATAACACTGGTGTGTACTAATCTGTATGTTAAACTGTTTGCATGTGTAATTTTTCTTGCATCTCTTGTTTGGTTGTGGCCTTTTGGCTGTTTGACTCATGATCAGAGGTTCAGGTGTTAAAATCAAGCTGCTGGTCATGTGTAATATTCTCAGGCAACACAATCTTGCCTCTACTGTTTATTGGCACTTTCTTGGAGTAACCTGCCATGTATTGGCATGCAAAGGATTGAGACACACACTCAGTCGTTTCATGGCAGGAAACCAGAGACAAACAGTAAACAGTGGCCTGAAGGGCCATGATGAGGCATTGCAGTCAAATTAATGTATTAGAAGATTAAAGGCTTGAAGGAATTAATCAAAATTTGAAATATATATAAAAGAATTTGATTACGCTATTCAGGGGACTCTTGGAAATGTTAGAACCAATTAACCCAATTAACATTGGTCAGTCTTTGTGGATGGGGGAGTGTTGGTCAGCCACCCCACCCCATAACCCAACCTAGCCTTTCCCAGTGGACAACCACACCATAGTAAGTGGCTTCCATGTTGTACTTAGCCTTTCGCCAAGGCCATCTTGGCTGTAACCGGCATTATTAGACTGGGCGGCGAAGACGCGAAGCGACAGGAGTGACAAAGCCATGGGGCTTTTTCCAACTTGTCAGGATTTGTTTTTCTTTATTTCTCGATTTTTGCTACCCATACAGGGTAGCGAAATTCCAACTAATCATTATCCTTTAGTAAAGGCATGCGTGGCTAGTACCCAGACGCGTGACGCGCACGCCCTGGGGGCCATATCATAAGTCCGACGCCTCATAGGTCCGATGCCTCATAAGTCCGAAATTTCGGACTTATGAGATGTCGGACTTATGAGGCATAAAATTTATTTATTCCGCCTTATAGGTCCAATGCCTCATAAGTCCGACGCTTCGTAAGTCCAACATTGGAAAAACGAGGTGTTGGACCTATGAGTTGTTGGAGCTATGGACCGTTATCAAAAATGGTTTATTTGTCCGACAAGGCAAGAATGAGATTTTAAAAAATAATATGTTTTAAGTCCGCGAGGTTGTCTACTTATGAATGGCACACCGTGCACAGCATGAACTAACTGGCCACAGATTAGTCCGCCAGCGCGCAGTTTTTGGCGCAAGAGTTGATGCTACGGGCGTAAATCCGGGTGGGGGGGGGGGTCTGGTGCATCCCTTATTGTCAATGTGTAATCAGTAACACTAACAAATAGAGGCGCTAACATTCTTACATGTTACGCAATGTTTGTATTAATAACCCCTAACTCAGTAGCATAATTTACTAGGAACCGTACCCATCCTGGCAAATTCCAACACCCACATGGGAAATTGTACACACACACTGTTGGACTTAGTTTCTGAAGGTATGCCAAATCCAATGTAAAAGACCATCAGTTTAAGGGTACTGTACCCATCCCAACAGATTTCAACAAAACCTGCTGTTGAGCTTTGAGTTTTTTTTTTTTTTTGCTGTTTCGGCAACCTGCCGAAACAGCCTTTGTTTTCGTTAAAGTTATTTTTTCTTTCTTTTTTGCTTTTCCACTTGGAAGTGGAAAAGCGTTGTTTCTGTTCTGATTTTTTTTCTGATGTTTTTTTTCCCTTCTAGTTTAACCCCAAATCCCATAGACTTTGTACACTTGGGTTGAAACTCGTCATGGAGGTAGACCGGGATGTGTTATACGTAAAAATTGAGGTGACGTCTTCATGATGTCACCATGTATCAAATTACAAGCAATGAAAGATTAATAGATTTAATCTTTGAAAATCAATATAAAATCAACCATGACACACCTGAACTTGAATTTTGTTGGAATTGATAGAATAATCCAGAATCTTCATTCATCTCCTGCGTGCCGAATCACGTGACCCTTCCTTCCGGTCCAAACCGGAAGTGCCTTATAATTTGATATATCTCATGAATGGTAAGTCCGTTGGGTTGAAACTTGGTACCGGTAGGTAGGCAGGAATGTGAACAGAAAATTATCACCATATCTCTTTCGAACCCAACGTGCTAAATTCAAAATTCTTTTTGCATTAGGTTTATTAGGCAATAGGTATACAATTTTTTTAAATTAGTGACGTCACGATGACATCATCCAAAACGTGATTTTTAAAAACATATATATAAGGGTAAGTCCGATTGTCTTGAGACTTGGTGGGTAGGTAGGTACTGTTACTAATATGCAAATCCCGAAGTGACATCACAATGACTTCATCGGTAGCTTTTTTTACGATTTTTTTTAAATGAAAATTTTTATTCTGCTTTCAAAATTTACACTTCCGTTCATCCGTTTGGCTTCAAACTTGGTGCAAACCAAGACTACAATGAAAAGTGTGCATTGACAAGTATTGTTAAGTTGACGTCATCGCTGGGGCATGTGACGTCATCACGAAAGTACATTTTTCAAGTCTTGTATTGAGAAAACTGTCGGTCCCATGGGGTCAATATTCATTATAGGAATGTAGTCTTACACGTGTCGTAGAGGCAAATTTACTGAGTCATATTAAAGTGCATATTTTAAATTTTATCACTTAAATGATCAAATTGTTTATAAGCAGGAATATCGATTCAACTGGGTCTGTTTTAGATGTCTGATAGTCCAGCAGTCCCTCTGCATGGCAATATTTGTGCAACAAGCCCATACACATACGGCTGGGATACACGATACCTAACGGCTAGAATAAACCAATTAGAGCACAGGATTTCTAGCCAATTGGCAAGCAAGAAAATTTTGCAGCATTCCATTCAAGATGAGGTGATTTTCAGCCAATGAGAAATGGGCGGCAAGGCACATTTGGCGGCAAACCAAGCCGTGTTGCACAATTTTGGCGGCAAACCGAGCATGCAGTCACTTTTGTCTCAGCCTCCAATGGACAAACACTGGAATAATTGAATGCGTCTCCAAAATGTTGTTCCCACCGCCACCCCCAGCTACCTCCTTTTCGAATTCGATGAGCATTGTGCTCATGGGCATTTTTTGTGCTCGTGAAATAAAACAGCCCACGATTTTCCCCATTTTGGGTTATTATAGTGGCTTGTTATCTACATTAATTAAAGGAAGTATAACCACAATGTATATGTTATTGTTTATTGCATTAATTATAATCATAGTTGTAACAGGTAGCAGCTTCTCCCTTGAGTCAGTTCAACAGGGGAGGAGCACCGTTCTTCCTTCTGTGAGTACAAACCAAGGAATCGAACGGTGCCTGGGAATTTATAGTTTATTGTTTATGGCATTTGGAGTGTGTATTGTTAAGTGTTATTCATCATTACATGCCATGACCTAGGTTGATCTGGTCTCCCGACCGGGTGTCCACTCGGCCTTATGTGGCACTCGTTAATAGCCACACTACATGCACTTACGTTGATTGATGATTCTGGGGTTCTGGTGCCCAGGGGCTTCTGGTGCCCATTGGCTGAAATGATTAATGGTTCTGGGCTTGTGGTGCTCAGGGGCTTCTGGTGCCCAACTCTGATATTGATATGGATATTGACAAATTATTTGGTGCTACTCAATTGAAATAATACCTGGTGGCCCAATTGAAAAACGGTAGCCGGAGTAACAGTTTGTAGAAATGTTTTGAATAAACCGTTTGGCTGAGGCGTGTAGTCACACACAAATTTATCTGCTTATAATGAAGGCAAATATCTACATAACTAATGGTTCGATTGGGTTGAAAGTTGGTATATACCTAGACCGGGATGTGTTATAAATGAAAATTGAAGTAACGTCACTACCAAGTCATCACGTGAAATGTGACGTCCGATTGAGTTGAAAGTTGATATGTACCTAGACAGGGATGTGTTACAGATGAAAATTGAAGTGACGTCACAATAATGTCATCACATGACATATGACGGCATATTAAAAGTGCACATTTTGAAGGCCAATATCCACAGAACTGTATTGGTCCTGGTCAGTGGTCACTCTACCGCACATGTTGTCCTATCAGTCTTACATGACATAAATTACAACAAATTACCAAAACAGCCGCATGTTTGTACACAAACATCAGTAAATTTTTGTTATTTTTGTTAATTTTTGTTCCGCTTCTTTTTCCACATTGTTTCCCAAAGGATAACATGTGTTTTCGTTCTGAGCAGCACTTTGAGACTTCTTCCAAAAAAATGGCACATACTTAGACCACCATCTGAAGATTCTGGCCGAATAATGACATCATCATGATGTCATCACGTGTCATGTGACGTCATCCGAAAAGTGCATATAATTTTAAAGCCCTATATCTACAGAACCAGAGGTTTGATCAGGTTCAAACACGATATGCAGGTATTCCAGGATGTGTTATAGACAAAAATTGCAGTGATGTCACAATGAAATCATCATGTGATTGTATATAAATTCTTCAATTTTTGGACCTTTTACTTATATCTCATCGATGGAACGTGGTAAATTCAAAATTCTTTTTGTAAAAGATTTGTTAGGTCATAGATAGATACACAAAATTTCAAATATGTGTGACGTCATCATGACGTCATCATAAACGTGATTTTTTGATTCACATATAGGGGTATGTCCAATCGTTATGAAACTTGGTGGGTATAGATAGGTATTATTCATAAGATAGAATTTTGCGTCGGGGTGATGTAAATCAATATTAGGTTTTGCCCTTTACCAACGTATAAACACTGTTAACTGAGTGTGTTACCTCCTGAGTGAAAGTTGGAATAAATCACCCAGGTGGGAATCAAACCCACGACCTCTCGCGCTGTCTAGTGCAGACATCTTACCACTCGACCACCGAGCTTACGTACATAGCAGCGATTGGGAAGTCCGATTGGGTTGAAACTCAGTATTTGGGTATTCTGGGATGTGGGTATTCTGGGATGTGTTATAGACAAAAATTGCTGTGACATCACGATGATGTCATCATGTGATTTATATGAATTATTCAATTTTTGGACCTTTAAGTCAATCGAACGTGCTAAATTCGCAATTCTTTGTTAAAAAATGGTTATAAATGTAAAGTCATGCCACAGATACCATGCCAAAGACAGCAACCAAAGATTATCTAAATTTTACTTGTATACATCATGCTTAGTGACACTATGCCAAAGACAGTGGTTATTGCTATCTTCACTTCACTGTAAATTGTTATAATTAAACTTGTAACTACTATATTTTAGCAGTTTTTCTAGGCTAATAACTCTAAGTGTCTAAACTATTGCACAAAGTGTTATGTTTCACGAAATAATAACAGCAAATGTTATTGAAATTTCACACAATCGTAGTTGTTCAAATAAGTACTTGTTCAGATGATTTCAAGGCAAAACATTTGCATTGCATTTAATTCTGTTTATCAGCGAAGCAAATTTGTTAAGGTAATAGGGAATGTCAAATATTGAAACTTCAATACTGAATTCAAAAATTAGCAAATTAAATATGACATCAAATGCACTTTGAATATATAATTTTTTTTTTTTAAATTTACATAACTTACATGTACATTTATATAAATTCAAAAAGCATAAAGTCATACAAAAAAATCTTAATGAGGAAAAGCCCTATGTTCTATTTCAAACAGACATAGACCTCTATTTTTTTTATATAAGTATTTCCAGACATTATTTGAGGTATGAACTTATTTTTTTGTAATCTGAACTTATTTCCTCTTACTTTTTTCCATTACTCACCCTTCTTTCACAAATGGATGGAAGTCGGGAAAGTCTGCATTGTGATTGGTTAACCCTTCAGCTACTCTACTTATTTGCATAAAAAAATATGAATAATTTAACAAAAACTGCAAAATCAAGTTAGAAAAGGCCCCGTGGCTGCGCCACTCGTGCGCGCTGAATTCGTCTTCGCTCCAGTCGTTGGCTGCTTTGCCACTTTAAGCCATGATTGCCTTGGCAAAAGGCTATGTTTTACTGGATCTTTAACTTAGTGCTATTCCAACTCGCTCAAGACAGTTTTACTTTGATGGAGAACCACCAACTCCTCTTCCAATCCAGATAACTTCTCAGTCCCTTGGCTGACCTTGGAATCCTCTAAGGAGGTTTACTGCCTTCATTGGGAGTCTAAATACCTCCTAGCTCTTGGAGAAGCCTTGTCTCTTATCCTTAATAAGATGGTAACGATGGCAGCTAAGGAAGCTCTCAAAATGACAGTGCTTGCAGGTCAGTCTGATTGAGTTTCATAAGCATTTCTATTTTCCATTTTCTGTTTGAGAAACATTTATTTTCACAAAAAGTAAGTTGATTTATGGTTAACTATAGTTCTTCATTAAACTTGCTTCTTTTGTGGCTCTTTGCTTTGGATATGATTACCTCATGCTCATATCTAGCTCAACTGCTATAACAGCTGGTAATAGCAAGGCTGATGTGCCCCAGATATAGTTATTGGCTTGACAATCAAGTGTAATAATGATCATTGTCATTTCAGGCTTAGTGGTTGCCTTTGCATTGCCAGCCGCTGCTTATTCCTCACTGGTTGCCATTGACAATCCGTGGAGCATAGTGACCAATCGAGCAGCAGAAGGTGGAAAGCAGCTTGCCGAGGTATTGTTGTCGAGACGTCAGGTGAGACTGTTGCACATATTGTCAGCAAGTAAGAAGTAATTCAGTCACGTCTAATCATGGGCGTCGCGAAGGGGGGGCAAGGGGGGGCACTTGCCCCCCCCCCCTGGAAAAGCAAAAAAAAAAAAAAAAAAAAAAGAACGAAGGACGAAAAAAAAAAGAAAAAAAAAAAAAAAAAAAGAGGCGCGAAGACAAAGTGGTGTAAATTTAATGAGTTGGGGGGGGGGGGCAAAATGTCCCTGCCCCCCCCCCTCTAAAACTGATAAATCGAGAATGTGTTGAGAAATACCAGCATTTTTGGGCACATTTTTTTTTTGCCCCCCTCTAGAAAAAATCCTGGCGACGCCCATGCGTCTAATTAGATGTGGGTACCTAAGTGATACCAGCATGCTTTGAGCATATTTGAAAACCACAACATATGGATTATGAGTTGTAGTTAAGTCCATCCCAAATCAAATCATGGAAATCACCGGTAAGGTCATAAATAACGGGATGAACACTTACGACCCAAGTCTTTTTCATAGTTCATTTAAATAGCTTAATTAAAGATTAATTTATACCATTTTTTTGTTTGCTAAATTAATAATCAAGCTTTGAAATATTTTTTTAACAGCTGTCTATATATTTTTTTCAGGGCAAGCGACCTGTGACCTTGATTGGCTTCAGTATGGGAGCAAGAGTCATCTTCTTCTGCCTCAAGGAATTAGTAAATAGGAAAGGTATGTGACAGTTATATGGACCTGGCAAATAGGAAAGGTATATGACAGTTATATAGACCTGGCAAATAGGAAAGTTATATGGTAGTTACATGGACCTGGCAAATAGGAACGGTATGTAGCAGTTATACGGACCTGGCAAATATGGCAGTTATATGGACCTGGCAAATAGGAAAGGTATATGATGGTTATATTGACCTGGCAGATAGGGAAGGTATATAATGTGATGCTTATATTGACTTGGCAAATAAGGAACGTATACAATATGACGGTTATATGGACCTGGAAAACGACACTTTTGTGAACTAGATATGGCAGTTGAGCTAGATATGACAGTTACATTAAGTGGGTATATGACTTTTATTTGATGATGTTGTATGTTATTTCTGATCTCTTATATCTGTCAGCCATTCAATGGCCTTTTCCTGAGGACGCCTTCTCTGTGGCTGCACTCGCCCTTATATTTGCTCCATTTCTGTTTACAGAAAATCAGTAAATGTTCTTGCTTTTTGGGATTTATCAAGGGCGGATCGGGGGGGGGGGGGGGGGGCCAAAACTAATCCAATTTTTCTTTTTTAGTGACGTCGCAATAAAGGCAGGCAATAAGTACACCACCATTTTTCCTCAGAAAACATTGGTTAAAGTTGTCAGAAATTGCCTCAGATCTAGAATCCAAAAATTTAGAAATCCAAAAACAGTTACCAGGACACTACTGGATGAAGCGTGAGTTTTAATACTGGCCAGATAAAGCAGTATTTCTTGAATTTTAACTGTCGTATCCAAAACTCTTCCGTAATAAGGTTACCTGTCCAGGATAGCCCCAATGGTGGCGCCCTCCACTGTATGCACAAACGTGTTTACCTTTTGCATGTACATTTGAATTGATCTGACTTTTGCATCGCCAAGGGACTGTTTACTTGTTCTAGATAGGGAAGGTTTTTGCTCTTTGTGATCTGGGTCATCGACGCAATGTCAGTAATGAATGTATGCTGTACAAGATACGGTCCAATCTGCTTCATCCCCTGAACGATTATGTCCCTGAGCCGTATGTGCCGGCAAGAAATACTCGACTTGCATCGTCTCTGCATCGGCTTACTCTGCAGCCGATGAGATGTCGCACCAGCCAGTTCTAGCGTTGTTTCTTGCCCAGTGCTGTACAGCTATGGAATTGTTTACATGGTGACATATGTGCAGCAGGCAGTGTTCATACTTTTAAGTCAATGGCCAACAAGTATCTTAGGTCCACTTAAACTGTTTCTAGTGTTGCTCGTTATTGTCTATTTTGTTGTCGATCACACGTGTTGTTGTTTTCTCGATTTTTAATATTCATACTGTTTCCGCCTTGTCTGTCCATGTGTACGTGTTCATCTTTTCAAACCATACAAACAAAAGAGGGACAATAGGACGTCCACGATCGACGGTGAACACACATTTGTGTGTGCGTGTGTACGTGTTCATCTTTTCAAACTGTGGACGAAAAATACCAGAGAACAAAAGAGAACAATAGTGTCCACGATTCCCAGCATACGTCCGCGATTGGGGTCTTGTACAAAACCTATGGGAGTCTTGCTAAAAAAAGGTAAGAGTACAAACAAAAGAGGGACAATAGGACGTCCACGATCGACGGTGAACACACGTTTGCGTGGGTGTGATCTGATACACCGTACCCTCTGGAGACGTGTGTACAATAGGGAACAAAAGATTGTATACCTCTCCACAGGGCAATTTCTATAGATGAATACGTCTCCACAAGGTTTTCACGAAATAGATTTATGGATTTTACTCAAAAACTAGGAATTTCCAAGTTATGTTGATCTGTCGCAAATGGAAGAGTTTTAGAAAGGGATGTTAAGTTCCAATTTCAGCCAAGGAAATTAATTCTCGTTAAAATAAGAGCATTTTTAAACTACACTTTCAAACTCGAAAACTTTAGTACATGAGAACAAAGGAATGTCTCCACAAGGATACAAATTCCAGTATTGATGCGTGGGTGTGTGTGTGTGTGTGTGCATTTGGTTCCACAGCGATATCTGGATTGTATGTCCATGTATGTCTTGAACCTTGATACTATGTAGGTAGCTTGCTAGTATAACTTATAGAAAATGAATAAGTTTGGACCCCATAAGACAAAGGCCAAGGTCATTAGGATTAAAAAATAGGATTTTATTTTATTTGAATTTTTTTTATTTTTATAACAACACTTCATCCGTGAGTGGTTTGATGCAATTTATAATGATCTCAATAGCACATTGAGAGAAGAGAGATTGTTCAGTAAAGGCCAGTTTGGGGTCATTTCCAGGTTTGGGGAGGTGATAGTTTTTGCTGTTCTCCAGATTTTAGGGAGGTTTTTTTCCGAAACTACCCGTGAGAGGAATTCGAGGTAGAAGTTATGGTATGCAGGAGCTTTACTGCATTTTAGGTCTATCTAGGTTTTGTTCACCTCTTCGGCTGTAATTGGAGTTGTTGTTGCAGTTTGCTCTTCAAGTGGTGACCTCCTGAGGAAATGCCATTCTTATGTCATCTATTGTTTGACTTTTGTCAATCAGAGCTAATTTGCCCATCACCTTGTAAAGATGGCTAGCAACTGCATTAGGCTTGGTCAGTAGTCTGGCCGTGCTCGGTGTTAGTTGGTTGGGGCCGAGTTGTCACATGAGGTTCTAGCTTTTCCAGCTGTGTGTTGAGTGTTTGAAGTTAATGTTGCTGGTGATGTTTGTCAAGAGAATCAATGAGGTGGTTTGCAAGTCCAGATCGCCTGAGCTATTGTATTCTTCAAGAAGTTGTTGGCATTCCTTGTCCATACATATGGGATGTAGCTAGGCCTGAAACCTTGTGGGATATTGGCTTTGGCTGCTATTAAGATAGCTTTAGTAAATCTGGAGTAAGCTTTTGTCATTGAAATCTCCTTGGTGGGGATGCAGACGATGCTGTTCTCAACACTATTCTGTTCAGAGAATTTTGTCCAGTCTGACTTCTTAAAGTTCCAGTGCGGCTTTTGTAAGGATCTGCTTATTTGGAAGCATAACCGGACATGAGTCATGATAGACCTATCCTGACTCCTTGGAAAGTCATCCAGTACCTTCACAGAGGTCTGTAAAGGTTAGTTGTTGTGTGAGGCAGTGTTGTAGTCGAAATCTGAAAATGTATAACCCTGTCATGTGTTGTGCAATTAATATACGACAGCTTGATCTACTATGTGTATACCTTGTACATTATAGGACAGTTTTGAAAATAAGATTTGAATTACATTTGCAATTGAGAATGCAGTAGCTGATTAGCAAAATCTCAAAATGGAGTGATTTGAAGGGTACATCAGATGATAGCGAGGGAACATTTTTTGCTGGTAAGAGGGTTGTTATTGCTTTCACTTCTTTGAGTGCATGGCAACTCACTCAAATTAAAAAGTTACAGAGTCTGAAGGTCTACACAATTTAAAACACAGTTCTAATGCATAAACATTGAAGGATCTCACAGAAATCATAGGTTACCCATAAACTCCTTGAAGAGTATGTCAAAATTTGTATCTTTTTTTCACAATGTAGTAAATCCAATAGATTTTTCCCTTGCAACTTACATTCAAATCCTGTGAACTTTGCTATAGAGTACCGAAGTGTGACATTAGAACAAGAAGGTGTAGTGCAAACGAATGGAGTACGTGCGCATGTTGGTTCATAGGCTGAATCACGCGCTCATGTCTTTTACACACATTTTGTGCACATGATGTATTCACTTTGGTACTCTTTTTGCATCACAAAGGTGAGAACACATAGAACCCTCAGCCTCCACCCGGTGCCATGGGTATGCTGCATCCCATCTGCCCATAGGTGTCAATATTGCCATGTGGTATATCACAGCAGTCAAATTCTGTTCAGAATTCAGCAATATACTGTTGTTGTTTTGACTGCAGGTTGTGAGGGGATTGTGCAAGATGCAGTCCTACTTGGAGCACCAGTGCCTTCAACAGTAAAATACTGGAAACCATTTGTGAGGGTTGTGGCTGGAAAGATCATCAATGGCTTCTGCCGGTGGGTGAAAACAAATGACTGTGTGGAGAAGTGTATTAACCCTAAAGGGGCCGGGGGGGGGGGGGGGGGGGCAGACTTTATCCGCGATAGCGTTAAAAAAATATTTTCACGACCCCAGCTGTTGTGACTTTTTATAGCCTCGTGCCTTGCGCATCTTTTGATACAAAAAAACATAAAATTCGTACCATGGGTTGCTGCGCAGCGAAAATTATTCTGGCGCTACGCGCTGAAAACTTAATTTCCCCATATACGTAGTGTACACAGAGCAGAATTAACATTCGTTCATATGAATAATTAATTAGCCATAATTCCAAAACCCTTTGACCTATAGCCATGCAAATTTTTGGTTATGTTCATGAATAGTTGTTCTATGCATGTACCGAGTTTCATAATTTTTTGTCACTCGATGGCTGAGATCTTTGGGGGGGGGGGGGGCGGAATCCGGCATAAGACACAGCCCAGTTAAGTTATGAATAATTTTATGTCAGAACAAAGGATCACGAAAATTTAACCTTTCCAGCACCCGATTTCACGAAGCGCTGCGACACGTCGCAACTCGAGTTACGACGTGGAACACGTCGCAACTCGCGACGCGTCGTATCATCCATTTCACGAAAGTTGCGATGTGTTGAACGCGTAATAAGTTCCTTGACAACGGCTTAAAACACGTCGCAAGTTAAGACGTGTCTAGTGGTCGTCGCAAAATAAGAAGAGTCATTTCTAAGCCAGTTTTATGTCATAAACATTACATTAACAAGATTATAATACTGTGGCGGATTTTACTATTACCAGGTCGGTTGTCCTCGGCGAACACTCGCGGGTAAGGCGAGTAACCCTAACAGCGCCGAGGTGCAGGTCCGTTCGGTTGGAAATATACCACCACGTATACCCAGTCTACTCACTGATCGCTGACTTCCAGACAGACAATACAGACTGACAAACATGTAAAAATGACTGTGACGCAATGACAAAAGGAAGAAGGTTTCACTGATTTATTTAATTAGATCAATTATTATGATTAGAGTGATTTACTTGAATACGCCCTAAAAAGCGCCTCAATGGAGTGTTATGGCGCCTCTAGTGGGTGTTATAGCGCCTCTAGTGAGTGTATAGCGCCTCCCGCCACTAGTTTGCACTTATCCACCACGCAAGTGCCGCATTTATGCACTTCTAAATGTCGCGCACAGTTGTTCCCTCGGCAACGCCTCTCGTCTCCTCGGGCCTCAAAGGGGTAGGCTCCTCGTGAGCCTGGTTTATATGGAGCGTGTAACTCCTCGATGAGTCCTAACGCCTCCACCGCTTCCTACAGCAGCCCTGCGCCTCAGTGCTCGGACCGACGCCTCAGTAGATGTACGCTCGCTAGCGTACGTCGTCCCTCGAGGCGTCCGGCCGACAGTCGCGCCTATGGCTCCGCTATATGCCCCACGCTAAAGGTAGGTAGGCACATATACTTACTGCAGTACGCCCTTTCGCCTCCTTGAATTGACGCTCCGGTAGGCTTGGTTGGTCCTTCCAGTACGAGTAGCGTTCACCAACTGACTAGCCCGCTGGCGGCGACAAACTAATTGCGCGTCTATCGCTTTCTATGGCGCGCCAAGTCAAAACAAATTGTGTCAATTGCTCAAATGTTACAATACCAAGGCAATGTGTGTAAAGTTGTAAATAAGAAATTCATTGAATAATTATGAATTAGACCGGAATATTATTAGAGTTGAAATTTCAAAGTAGCTATACAGTCCAATGAGAGCTTGTTTTCCTTCAAAATTGCATCGCACGGCCGCCATTTTGTTTTACGTTTTAACAAACTTCGAGCTGAGTTCCGACGACTGTTTGTTGAATATCAGACGACTATTTACTGTACGCTGACTAAATACATAAAACAGTCATCGAGTTGTGCTATAAATACACCTACAACGCGTCGCACTTACAACGTATTTCGTGAAATGGATCGCAGGACGCGTCGCAGCTGTGTAGAGATGCGTCGCGTCGCATCGCTGCGATGCATCGTAAGTTACGAAGAGTTTGATGAAATCGGGTGCAGTACAACGAATGATTTTGTTTAAAACAAAAATGTATCAAATTCCAGTATACATTTTATGTACATGTACAAATTATTTCTGGCTTGATGATGATCAGTCCAAAAAAGGTCTGATGATGTCCTAATTTTCAAACCTTGCAAAGTTATATGTAGGTGATAAAAAAAATAACAAGGGGCGATTTGGTTACATTTAGACTGATATTTTTAAATTAAAAAAAGGAAACCCTATTCGATGTACCGCTAGAGGGCGCCCTTTCAAATGATGATGTCATTATGCTGTATTTTGGGTCCTGTATTCCGTTCTAAACACTTCCATAATTTATTTGCTTATAGTAAAGAGCTTCTGCTTTCGAGTTATATTCAATTTTTATTGCACTTCCGGTAACACTGGAAGTGAAGGTCAAGCGGTTTTGTGCCCGGGGATAAGAATTGTTGCCCGAGGCATCATTTACAACCTCACGCAAAAATGAACACGATACTCTATTTAATTCTAAAATATAGCTGAAACTATTTTCACAAATTTGGTCCATAAATTGCTTGTAATTTGATTCCTGATGACGTCATGACGATTTCATGATGACGTCAGATTTTTCAAGCTCATACCAGATTTTATCATAATCCCATAAATCGTTTGGAAGAAATTTGGCTTGTTTTGATTTTGAGGCTTCTGTCTTTATTATAAATTCACCTAACTTTGACTTAACTTTGACCTTCCGGTAGTGCGTGATTTAGCTCGTGAACCAACCTGTGCGTGTACTCCTTTTGTTTGCACTACACTTTCTGGTTTTAAATGACGTCACACTTCAGTACTCTATAGGCCTTGCACAACAGCCAATTCAAGATCAACACACGGTCCGCCTCCACATACTTTACAAAGTTTGTGTGTGTGTGTGAACAAAAGACACAAGGGATTAACGTGGTTTAACGTCACCAAGAGCCGAGGCATGATGCTTGATGTTAACTCATCAGCCATGCCTGTGTATAAAAACAGCAAACTGGTTACCTGCAGTTTGCGAGATGTTAACTCCAATTTCTTGAACTTTTGTAAGCTCTTCCCATTTTCAATTGCAGTCCAGTGGCTGAAGGAAAAAACGTGATGCCAGATTAAAGCACCAAATTTGGAACTCTTGCTGCATAGGTCCCTAGAAGATGTTCTAGAGGGGGTGCCCGGTTTTGGCGGCCTAGGTCAAGGTCAGGCAAGATCAAAGTTCACATGGTGTATTATAGCATATATAGTTGGTGTAAATTTTCTAAAAAATCTTAAATTTTAAGTTCTGAATAGCATAAGGCCATTTAAAATTAATTGTTAGGTTTTCATTACTCAGATTGAAAAAAATCGGTCAGGAGGGGACTGATATTTATACTTTGTAAAGATTTCCAAAGTGACTTGAGGGGGAGGAAGTCCGATAAAATTTGGTAACCTAGAAGAGCACCAAAAAAACATGAAAACTACAAAATACAAGTTTTATGGCCTAGCTGTTTTATGGCCTGGTTTGTGTCCAGAAAGAGTAATTGACCTCACATTTATGAAACTCAATAAAATGGAAGGAAAGTTAAGTCCTTGATATCACTTCTTGAGAAGGGGAAATGACCAACACAGTTCATATTGCACGATATTAGTGTGTGTGGACTGCTGTGTGTACCAGCCGCGCCACCACCCTCAGCATTGGCAATGGTCACACAAAAATCCTGCTTCACTGGATCGCTGCAAACACAAGCATTGAGACCTCGGGAAAATAAAGCATTGGAATGGATGCTCAGTTTTGTGAATTCATTCCTTCCGTAAAGTGCAGACTTCTACGATGAGAAGAAGAACACACTGCGGGTGGGGGGCGTGCTCCAAGAACAATGAATGCGCTTGACTTGTTGTGCTAATAAAAAACTATATGTACATGTATAGTGCTGAAGTGCAGGTTAAAAACAGGACAACTTGAAGCCAGTGAGTACCATCCCTCAATGCTGATTTGAACGCATCAAGGGAGGGTAGACTGGCTAGGTCCAACGTCAGGGTGTTCCAGTCTCTGCAAGTTTGTGGGAAGAATGATGAGGAATAGACCAGTGTTCTGCAATGGGGCACGAAGAACCGCGAACTGGGACCTCTAGTACTAGACGTGGTTTATGAGGAAGGTATTCCAGTGCATGTCTACCAAGTTAAAGCGGATCCTGTAAAGCATCCCCAGATGGCTCTGGAGACGTCTGGCCTTGAGTGGACTCCAGTGCAAGTCTTTAAGCATTGATGTTACGCTGCAGGTGCGGTTGTAGTTGCCGGTGACGTAGCGAGCACTGCTGTGCTGAACTTGCTCCAATTTTTTGATATTTTTCTCAGTGTGGGGATCCCAGGCTGGATCGGCGTACTCGGTGATGGGGCGAACATATGTCGTGTAGCTAGCCTCTCTGATGGCTTTTGCCTTCTTTGTTACTGTATCAACATGAGTGTTGAAGTTGAATTTTGAGTCTAGATGCACACCCAAGTATTTAGCAGAGTCAACCTCCTCCAGAATGTGTCCACGGATGTTTTACGATGTTGGGACTGGTTTCCGCTTGTTGGTAATACGTACTACCTGACATTTGGATGGATTGAACTTTATCAGCCATGTACGTTCCCACTTCAGCAGTGCATCCAGGTCTTCTTGCAATAAGATATTGTCGAGACTCGATGAGATACGTCTGTAGAGCGCACAATCATCTGCAAAAAGACGGGTTGTTGAGTTTTTGACGCAGGAAGGTAGGTCGTTGATGTATATCAAGAAGAGAAGCGGACCCAATGCACTCTCTTGGGGCACACCTGATGTAACTGGTGCCTCTTTGCTAGCTCTACCATCAACAATAACCTGTTGTGTTCGATTGTGGAGAAAATGTTTGATCCACTGCAGAGAGTGACCTCGGACGCCGTAGTAATCAACCTTCTGAAGGAGTCGACGGTGGGGGACCTTATTGAAGGCTTTGGAGAAATCCAGTAGGA